AACAGAGAGAGAGAGAGCAGGTAGAGGAAGAGGAGAGAAGGAAGAGAGAGAGAGAGAGAGAGAGAGAGGAGAGAATCTTGTATAGAGTGAGGGGGTCAGAAAATGGCCATAGTTTTGGAGCCAGGCCCCTTGATTTGTAACATCTGATTAATGAACAGAGAAGTAATACACTTAAGTGGACATTGCATGAGTTTTGAAGTGTAATAGGGAAATGAGTAAGATTATGCTGTATGTAAATGCTACACACCTCACAATATATTAATTTTGCAGCCAGGTAGTGGTGGCACATGACTTTAATTCCAGCATGCAGCAGGCAGAGGCAGCTGGATCTCTATGAGTTTGAGGCCAGCCTGGTCTACAGCGCTTGTTCCAGGACAGCCAGAGCTACAGAGAAACCCTGTCTCAAAACAAAACAAAACAAAACAAAAAAACAAAACACAGAGACAAGTCATGTTTCTCCTTGTGGTTTTATATTTGCACAGAAGAGATTTTTTTTTAAAACAACAGAAGTTTGTCAATTCAAAGCAAGGCATAATGGCATACACCTGATATGCTAGTACTCTGGAAGCAGGGGGATCAACAGTTAACCCAAAAGGATAAATACCAGCTTTGAAGGAGATTCCATTCATAAATTATAGCACTCCTGTTATTATAGGCCTATTCCTTCAATCCTAAATTCTGCTTGACTCTTTTCAGTAAATCTATAAAAATTCCTTCTAATACTCCCAATTGTATTGTGTAATCTCACAATTTAAGGCCATTTAGCTTTCTATTACTTCATTCCCACATTTGCAGGTCTCTACTGCACAGTCAAGTGCAGAAACGGAGGGAGAGATGTATTAACAAAAAATCTTACCTTAATAAATGTTGTCCCAGATACATTAAAGTTTCCTTTCAATTAATGTGATGTCTTTCCCCCAATATTGAATTCAAACTCTGAAATATTGTTGCTATTCTCCTGTTTTCTCGTTTGTATGCTAGTAAGAGTGGTAATGTTTTTATCACTAACACAATACACAGTGAGTGTTGCAAGTTATATGTCGAAGGCTACTTGGAGCTTTGAGGAGGAAATAATTTATGTTGCCTATATATTACAGTGTACTTCAAATACTGTCCCAGGAAGTGCATATTGAAGGTGTGTAAATTCATGGCATATTCAATAAGGAATATTATGTCTTCCAGGGTGGAGTATGGAATAAACAGCAGCAAAATAACAACAAAAAAACAACCACAACCCATCAGCAGACCGAAGTCCTCTAACACGGGATTTTCTTTTTTTTTTTAAACGTATACAGTCTTCTGCCTGCATGCCAGCAGAGAGCACCAGATCTCATTCAAGGTGGTTGTGAGCCACCATGTGGTTGTCGGGAATTGAACTCAGGACCTCTGGAAGAACAGTCAGTGTTCTTAACCGTTGAGCCATCTCTCCAGTCCCTAACAAAAGATTTTAAAGCTTGTTTAAAAAAATTTACATATCCATGGAGGCAGACAAGAGAGTCTTATCATTACGTATTAACCTGTCTTCCAATGCTGTGGAAGATTAATTTAACAATCACTCCCTCTCTCTCCCTTACCCCCTCTTTCTCCCTGACATAGTTCTTACCCTAAAGAGGTAAGGAGCTTCTCCTGTGGGGACAACTTGGGAAGCGACACCAGAAGCATTTCAGTGGCATTAGAGAGGCAGGGGCAGGTGGAAAGGTTTTTTCCTCGCTCAGCCTGAAAAATGGCATAGTGAGTGTTTTGTCCCTTCAAGCTAATGTACTTTCGACCTTAGTAGGTGCCCCCAGTAGATGGTCCGTTTCTTCTTTTTCGTCTCTGTGTTCCTTGAGCCATCCAGAAGCACACAAGTAGGTCGTAAAGAAAGTTGCTTAGCCGATGGAAAACAGGAAATCGTTAATTACCGTCTATCGCACATTAAAAGTATTAACATTAAAGTAAGTTATAACTGATTTGCCACAATTTTAAGTCTTCATTAACCCGGTGAATTACCCACGCTACTCGTGCATTAGCTTCAGAATAACACCCGGTCCTCCAGCCTGAGTTTATTTATCAAGCGAGAAGTCACTAGCCAAGATCCAGCACAGACGAATTACAAGTTTTCAAATCGAAAATCCCAATCGTCCCCGGTTCCCCGGAACCAAAGCTCAGCGGCCTCGACTTCCGGAGAGAGGGCGGGGAACGGATTTGTATGGGGACGATTCGATTACTTTGGACTTGCGGAGGCCTACCGGGCGAGGACTCGGCACCCAAACCCAGTGAGGAGTCTACAACTTCGCTTGAGAGGAGGCCGAGGCTGCTGGGCTCTAGGTGGCCGCCCTGGGGCCGCTCCGAAGGGGCTAAGCCGGCCGCATCTTCAACCATGGTAGCGCCCGCCGTGTTGCGCGCTCTGCGCAAGAACAAGACCCTACGCTACGGGGTCCCTATGTTGGTGAGTGGCGGCGGGGCCTCTGGAAGGGGCGGGGCTACCTCCGCTGATTGACGTCTGCGGCGGACCTGGGACGGCGGCGTGGGGGGTGGGACGCAGCTAGGAGGGGACTGCTGGAGGTGTGAGCTGTTAGATTTCCCCTAGTCCACACTCAGAAGTGTACCTCGGCTTTCCCCCTCTCGTTTTCCTTCGTGAATGTGCGAACTGTCACTATCCCCGTTTTATAGTAGTAAGTTTTCATGGGGTTAAAGATTGAGGTTGGCAGACGACCAATCAGAGTTGGAGCTCCAATATAATTCATTTGTTGTTTTATTGTTCACAGGTTAACTGCTTTAGCACCCGCCAATACCATATTAAAGAAAATAAATAAAAGTTTTTAAAAATACAATAATATTTTATTGGTGTGGCAATAGGCACGGGTGAGGCTCCCAGCTTTTGTATTTAAACAGTCCTAAAAGAGAGGTTGACTCAGAAATGTACTAGGTTTTGTTTTTAGTCATCTTTGATGTATTTGGATTTTGTTTCCACCTTTAGGAAACTCTGCTTTAAGAGTTTTAGGATAAAAAAGAATTTTAGGATAAGCATTAGTTTTTATAAAATGACAACCATTTGTGTAGACAAAGCATGCATAAAATTTGTTTCCTGCAAGTTCCTCTGCCATTCAGAAATAATGATTTTTTAGCCACTGACTTGCAATCACCTGTCTGTCACTATGGGAACCAATCTGATTTTCTTCCCTTTCAAAATCATAAAAGTCAAGAACTTAGTGAAAGACAAAAACAAAACAAACAACCTCCCCCAAACAAACAAACAACAAAGCCTAAGAGTGAGGTCTTCTGTGTAGACTTAGTTTCCTGCTCTATTTTCAGAGCTCATCAGCAAGGAGACTCCTTCCTTCGCAGTCACTTTTTAAAAGGTCAAATCAGGTGTTATGAAGACATACCCTGGATCTATTTAGACAAAACTTTTAAACCTAATTTGTTTTCCAGTCGGATGCCCTTCCCCTTGTTAAACAAAGAGCACTTTTTGTGCCCACCCAATCTGAAGAAAATTTTGAGATTTGAGGCTTTCCTTTTCTGTTTTATTACACCATAGCCAGGTGTGCTCTGGCAAATTAAGGAAACCTCCAGCCATGTACCATAAGCAACTTCTTCAGATGAAGTATTCACTATGATCTTTTACCTCATTGACGTTTAACCAGTCATTCCTTTTTGTTTGTTACACACACACACACACACACACACACACACACACACACAATTTCTTTTATTTAAAAATTATATATATATATATATATATATATTTATCTTGAGAATTTCATAGATGAGTGTCGTATTTACATCATTTCCACCCCTCTTCCCCCCTCCAATTTCTCCTGTGATCCTATTTTTCCTCAAATTCATAACTTATTTTATTATTGTTGTTACACGTTATATGTATGTATACCATAATTACATGTTATATGTATGTATAGAGACAGTGTGATGAGTTTTTAGTATTGGTCTCATGTAATCCGAAATAGCATTCTTCTTTTAAAAGTAGCTGAGAATATTTTATATGTATTATAGTTAAATATAAACTTTTTATTGTGGCTGCTATTAATCTTAAAATCATGGGGGTTAAGATAAAAAGCCCTAAAACCCGAGAAGTGGCTTTAGACTGCTAGAGAGGAAACAGCAGGAGAGGACATTCTTAGAGAGAAGAGAGCATCAAGTTAAGACAGTTCCTCTAACCGAGCCCTAGTCTACTGAACACAGAGGCTTAAATCTAGTGCTGCTTTTGAATTTCTTTTTGTTTTGCTCTTCACTCCCCTCCCCCCCCCAGTTTGAACACATATCACAGATGGTCTCCCTATTTGTTGTCTTTTGAGTTATAGGATTGTTTTATTTTTCTTTTTTTGTGAGACGTTTTAAAGTTATAACTGTGAAGTTCTGTTGCTTTTATAAACCTCAGATTTTAAATTTAGACCTCATGTTTTTTTTTGTATTTAATTATTTAGTCAGTGATACAGGGATCAAGCTTTTTTCCCCTAATGGCTAAACTTTTGCTTCTCTGACCTGAGAATTACAGCCAGTTCAGTTTCTGGTAAAATAGTGGCAGTCTGAAATCTCTCTTAAGGGTTTCTGCATACTGAGAAATGTGGCATACCCTGCAAGGCTCCCTTATCACTTGATAAGAAAATTAACTGCAATGTTTCCCAAATGTTTGACTTTGCAAAATCAGAAAATTGAAAGAAATTATCCACAGACAAGGCCAGCATTTTATTCCTAGGTTTATACTATGTAGTTGTAGTGTTAAAAGAAGAACTTGATGGCCAGTGAGAGAGGTGGTTCCCAACTAAGAGCACTTGCTGTTCTTTCAGAAGACCAGAGCTTTCTCAGCGCCCACATCAGGCTGCTCATGACTGCTTGAAACTCCAGTTCCAGAGTGTCTGATGCCCTCTGCTGACCTCCACAGGAACTCACATGTACCTGCACATATAAAGATGAGCATACACATACGCATGCATACAAACACAAATGATAAAATAAATCTTAAAAACAAAAACCTTTAAGCAAACAAATTTTACTGATTTTGCATGAGCACAGAAGGCTCATGAGTCAAGCTGCACTTAGAACCCGAAGAGGTTCAGAGAGTTCTGTCCTGCTGCATTGACAGTGAATATTTACAGACAAAGAAACTACAAAAATAACTTAATTGGCTAGACTTAGACCATTGCAGTTTTTTGAATTGGTCTAATCAGTTAGTTGACCAATCGAGTTTTCTGTTTGTTTACCTTCTAAGGTTACATAAAATCTCTAATGGAATTTAAGTACAGAGACAGCTTCACTCCAAACTTAATACTTAACAGTAGCCTATCATTTAGTCGGGTGTGCTTATTTCCTCTTGAATTTGGAAACAGGAAGATCAGAATTTCAAGGTGACCCTCAGGTGCATAGTAAGTTCAAGGCCATCTTGGCAAATGAGACCCTGTGTCTTAGTTGGTGTTCTATGGCTGTGAGACACCATGATCACAGCAACTCTTATATAGCAAAACACTGAATTGGGCTGGCTTACAGTTTCAGAGGTTTAGTCCATTGTCATTGTGGGGACAGTAGCATGCAGGCAGACATGCTACTGGAGAAAAAGTCTAGAGTTCTACATCCGATCTATAGGCAGCAGGAATAGAGTCACCTGGCTTGGGCTTCTGAACACCTCAAAGACTACCACCATTGACACACTTCCTCCATCAAGGCCACACCTCCTAATACTTCTAAGTAGTACCGCTTTCTTATGGCTAAGCATTCAAATATATGAGTTTATGGGGACCCTTCTTGTTCAGACCACCACACCCTGTCTCAAAAAACAGCAAACCAGAAAACTCAAACACATATATGGTATTGATTTATAGCCTCCAGTAACGATCTATTATAATTTTTCTGGGATAGTGTAGTAGCCTCCCTTACTGAGGTTTCACTTACTGAGTCTCAGTTATTGTCATAAAGAAGAAGGAAGAAAGAAAAAGAAAATGAAAAGAAAAAAGTCACATGGAAAATTCCAGATATAATTAATCCATAAACTTTAAATGACATTTATTACAATATATTATCACTGTTGTGCTTTATTATTAGTTATTGTTGATAATCTTTTGTCCCTGTTTTAAAAATTAAAATTTGATAATAGGTATATATGTATAGGAAAATACTTAGTGTATTTAAGGTTCAATATTTGTCCAAGGTTCAGGTGTCCCTGGAATGCCTTTGAAGGCAACCCCACCACATCTATTTTTAAGTGATGAGTAATAATTTTCTAGGAAAAATACTCTAGTTTTTTTTATAGTTTGTCTTAAGCTCTGTTTAACTGAATGAACTAGGCTCCTCAGGCTGTCCTTCTTCTGTTTTATATAGCTGTTCCTTTCCTTTGTTTCAGTTGCTGGTTGTTGGAGGTTCCTTTGGTCTTCGTGAATTTTCACAAATCCGATATGACGCCGTGAGGATTAAGGTAAGAACTATAATTGGTGTTTGCTTGTGTCTGAGTGTATGTTTTTTACTTTAGGAGAATTACATGCTCAGTTCATTTAGTGATATTAATCTGTCTTGAAAATCTAATAGATGATATTTGCACCCTCTTGTTTAAAATATCACTAATGAGTCCTTGAAAATGAATCATTGGTAACAGTTCTTTGTATTCACTAGGATATTTGTAATATTATTGTTTCCCCCCAGAAATATTCTCAGATGTAGTTGTTTTGAGGATTCCTAAGGAACTAAAGAGCATAGATCAACAATTTTACTTCATTTTATTTCACTAATTATAAATTCATTATTATAGTTTAATACCAGTGATGCTATAAATATATTGCCATTTCTCATTAGTAACTGATACCAAAATAAAGTGTTTAATTCTTTATTATGTATTTCAGTACTCTAGAGAAATTTTCCAAACTGTCATATTTTATCCCTTTTTTCTAAACACTTTGTGAATTATAATTAAAGATCCTATCTCACATAAAGTTATAATTATCTTCTTTTTCTTCATTTTTGACTACATGATTATGTCTTTGAATATGCCTTACAGTTATTTTCTGTTAAATATTGATTATTGCTTATAAGTAACTATAGAGGTTCTAGATGGTATTGTTTTTCTTCAGAAAAAATTTATCCTTTTTTTCCTAGCCTAGTAGACTGGAGTCTGGTACTCTTAATACTTGGATGTGAGCTGGGTCCTGGTTTGTTTAGAGTTGAGTTAGCCTTAGTGCACCTCTGTTTCTCCCTTAGTCTTTTTTTTTTTTTTTTTTTTTTTTTTTTTTTTTTTTTTCTGGTTTTTTTTTGAGACAGGGTTTCTCTGTGTAGCTTTGGAGCCTATCCTGGCACTCGCTCTGGAGACCAGGCCTCGAACTCACAGAGATCCGCCTGCCTCTGCCTCCCGAGTGCTGGGATTAAAGGCATGCACCACCAACACCCGGCCACAGTTTTCATATATGAGAGCAACCTGTGATATCTGGCTGTGGCACTAACTCTTGGTTATGATTCTATACTTGTTCCAGGCTTGGCAAGTGTAGCCAAGGGTGTTGGGTTTCAACTCCCATTCTCAGCTTTTAGGAGAAATCCTCTTATTATCGTGGGATTTTTCTCTGTTGAGGCCTAAACTGAAGATTTCATTGAATTTTTAGTTGATTTGATTTTATTCTTTCTTGTTTTGCAAATTAGTTTGACGTCATTGGACACCTTTTTAATCTTACTTTGTATAGAAAATAGAAGCATAGGAAGGTAGCATACGGAAGTGTTATACAATGGGATAGTGTTTGCTGAGAGGAAGAAATGGCATGTGACCAATAGCACTGATATGGCTCTGGAATCTCAGGCACACATGTGTTAGGATTTTTGGATGTACCCGTCATAATCTATCCTTTTTTTGATTTGTCTCATTTGTCTCTATACATCATTCTAATGGAATCCTGGGATTATCCCCCTGGCTCATCACTTTGTTCATAGGCTCTGTTGAGTCATGCATACACAGCTAGTCCATTTACTTTGTTTTGATTATTTCACTAGTCACAGTCTTCCTTGTGACATGCAGGTTAACAGGTATGAGTTTCAGTGGGCCACTGTGGAACCCCATGTATTCCATAGCTCACTCTTTATTCAGTCCATGGAAGAGGTTCTTTAATTTTTCAAGTGTATTATATAGTAGTGTTCAAATATTTCTGTGCTACGAAATCTAAGTGCCTCCTCTGGAGTCAGAAGGTCAGTGCTCAACACTACACATGCCTCTTTCACAAGTTATTCAAGCTCCCATGCCAGCTTTCCTTATATGTAATAATGAAGATGAAACTCATGCTCATCATACAGGCTTTGTGAGGATTCAACAAGATGGTGTATGTCAGGTGCCTGGCACACAGGTGCTTGGTGTAAATTGGTGGCTGTTAGCTGGAGTTGTGTACTAGTTACCACAGTGGATAGGACAGATTTTGACATATGCTTTAAATTGGCTGAACTATCCCAGCCATCTTTCCTAGGACTTTGTTTGAGACAGGGTCTCATTGTGTCCCTGGCTGACTTAGGACTCATGACGCAGACCAGGCTGACCACAAACTCACAGAGATCCTCCAGTTTCTGTCTCTCAGTGCTGGGATTAAAGACATATGGCACCAAGCTTCAGCTCTCTCATGACTTTTAAAAGTAAAATAATTTTTAAAAATTAAAGTGAAAGATGAATGTAAAAGAATTAAATAATCTATGTTTTTCCCCCTTTTCTACAGGTTGATCCTGAATTGGAAAAAAAATTGAAAGAGAATAAAATAACTTTAGAGTCAGAATATGAGGTATAGTATGTTAATATTCTATGTTTTGTAACAATCTCACTCATCATGACTGGTTCTGTGTCTCAAGATAAATTGGTAGTGAAGAAAAAAAATATATTTAATCTAAATGTTCGACATTTGGCAAATTATCTAAAATCTGGAACCAGGAGTGCTGGAGATTGCAGAGTTTTTCAGGCACACTTCACCAGTGGAGAATATTCCAAATCTGAGCTGTCACAAGATCTGTAAATTCTTTGTTGCTGTTTGTTTTGTTTTTTTTTGTAAAGGAGAATCTGGGGACAGGCTCTATTGTTTCCTGGGCCTGGAAACAACGTGGTTTCCAGCTAGGCTTCCCCTTCCCACCAGGGTCAGGGCTTGGCTTTAAATTTGGTGTGGTGAGTCTGAAGTCAGTTCTGTTCTTGAGCAACTGTGGCCTTTTAGTGTCTTAGCTGGATGTCAGGGAGCAACAGAGTACTGAAGAGAGGCCTACACTCTGGGGGACTGGGTGTGGAACCCAGTCCCTGACACATTTCCTCATTCAGTTCTGTAGCAGGTGGGTGTTAGGTGGAGGCTTGGGTCATGCCTAGCAAATGTACACAGCCTGGCGTTCAGCCAACTGCATGTTTTACAGATTTTCTACCAGGAGTCCTTCCTGTAAATGTCCTCTAAAGACAACATGTTCCCACAACTCTGTCCTGTCAACCTTGCCTCTCATCTTAAGAATTATTTTAAATTCCCATGAGCACATATACAGTAATGTATCTGGATAACAGTTATTATTCTACTAATACCTTTTGCAGGAATGGTGGCACGTGTTTGATATCCCAGTACTTGGGAGGCTGAGGCACTAGGATTGCAGCTAGTTTAAAGCCAACTTGGGCTACATAGTGAGTTCAAGACTAGCCTGGGCTATATAAACGATGTCTCGAAAAACATAAAGATAACCAAACAGAAAAGCTTTAGAATATAAATGATCTGAAGTTTAGATCATTTTATAACCTACTTGAAAATACTTTCTTGCTAAATTAATAGCATTGCGTACATCACATATACATACTCCTTACTTTTCAAGAAAAATGTTTTCATTTACTGCTTTCCTGTCATTTGGTTGGAACTTTGTACTGTCTGCTTGAGCAAGTAAGTGCTGTGCGGGCAGTCCTGCTATGGATGGTTCATCTAGGAATAGATTTTCCTTGTAGTTATTATAGAAACCATAGGAGTTAAGAGCTGAATATAGAATATTTTGTCTCACCTTTTAGCAATCACTTATAAGAATCAATGCCAAGGTAGCCTGTGCTACTTGCTAAAGATCGCATAACTAGGCAGTAAAAGTTAATACCCATTTGATACCTAGATGGAAACATGGAGGGAAACATAAATTACTTTCTCCATGTTTGTATATAAATTGCCCATTGATCTCTAGTGGCCTTTTTTCTCCCGTCTTTAGTTATTCCAGGACAGGAGCAGATAGAAGTGACCATCAGAGAGGATAAAGGACGTTTTCTGTCCATCCCTTTTCTCTTGCCTTCTCCCTGTGCTCAAGGCATTTGAGAGGACATGAAGCAAGGATTCTCGAAAGTGCAGTTGATAGCTCTGCTGAGTGCTCTCCTCAGGTTTCCCATGGAGAGTGACTTCATTCGGAAGCCCAGCTTCATCTCTCAGGTGCAGAATAAGGAGCTTTGCTCCTTTTCTTGTAGCACAAAAAAATAAAAACCCATAAACTGATATTGGGGTTCAAGCTTCAAGCTGAAGATCAGATAAGCAAAGCAGATGGCCACTAGCTCTTACCTCTGTCTCAGACTGAAAGGGTGATCCGGCTAACTCCATGAATCCTCAGACCGCTGCCTCTCTTCAACATGGCTGGAGACTAAATCTTCACACAAAGCCCTTTTCCTTTTCCTTTTATACCTCCCTAGTGCTGAGATTAAAGGCATGTGATCCCAAGTGCTGACGTCACCTTTGCGTGAGCTGTTTCTTCTTAGGACTGGATTCATTTCATGTAGTTCAGTGTGGCCTTGAACTAACAGAGATCCATCTGCTTGTCTCTTGAGTCCTGGGATTAAAGGTGTGTGCCACCACTACCTGGCTCTATGACGTGCTTCTAGCTTTGCTTTCTGTACCCCCAGGCAAGCTTTAATAAATCATAAATAATATCTCACCACATTTTCTTCCTTGTGAAGACGTAGGGTCTGCACCTTGCTTCTTCCCTTTTCCGCTGTGACCCACAGCAGACTTTCTGTTGCTATGTTAGAGCAGCTTCACATTTACTCCAATTCTCCCAGCCTCTTCCCTTTCTTTGTGCTCTCAGAAACAGAGTGTAGACTCCTCTGTCACTAATAGTTTGTCATTATGGGGAAAGGTAGATGTGAAGTCTCTCCAAAGCAAGCCAGGAAAGTTCTAACCCTCTCGAAGTTCTTGGGCTTGGGTTTGGGGTTGGTTTATTTGCTGAGCTGGTCCCGGAGCCTGTTGGGTTTTCCTTTATTGCTCAGCACTTACTGATGTCTCAACCAAAACCACTGGGCGTTGGTACTAATATGTTTAACTTCGTGGTTCTATAGAAAATAAAGGACTCCACTTTTGAAGACTGGAAGAATATTCGAGGCCCAAGGCCTTGGGAAGATCCTGAACTTCTCCAAGGACGAAACCCAGAAACCCTTAAGCCTAAGGCAGCCTGACTGTGCTCAGTCTTTCAATAAAATGTTCTTAACTGGACCTGCACTCCACTAGGAAGAAGATTGCAGACCTGTGTAACCCTGGATGTGGGTAATGTGCTGGCAGAATATTTGGATTAAAAAGTCAAGTGTAAGTCTTCATGCTTTCCAGCTCGTCTGCTTGCAACACACACACACACACACACACACACACACACACACACACACACACACATATATACATACCACTGTGACTACTGCCACGATAACTAGCGCCATGCCTCCTCTTTTTCTACAAGCCACTAGTACACTTTGCTACCTCATTTTGGTTTCTGATGAATATCATAGGCTTGGATCCAGATTTTCCAAATATTTTAAACCTATAAATAAACAATCATAATCTAGTAATAGTCTTGTCTTTTATTCCTAATACTTCATAAACCAGCCTGGAAGCCATTGAACCGAACCCATTAAGGAAATTATAGAATTTACCTCATTCATGCTTGGTGCATGATGACACATTTGTTGAGTTTATCAGAGGCCTGTGTTAGGCCTCTGCATGGGCTGGGAGTCGGTTCTAGTTTTCTTATTAGAACTACTGTGGTCTGATCCCTAAGCTAAGGGATCAGTGGTAGGGAAGGCAGGGTTTGTTTTTAAACCAACAGCTCATCTTCTCCTTTTACCTCTGCTCAGACAGTCTCAGCCCTCCACCCTGTGTGATTCTAATGCGAATTCTACACACCTGAAGTTTTAGCTGCAATGGTTCCACTGTCACTACTCCTCCAAATTAGAAAAACATCCCACTTTTCCCTCAATCACAATTGAGTCCATTTCAACAGATTACTTTCAGTAATCTTAGAATGTTACTTAGTGGATAATGGCAAACTGATTTCAAAGGTAGTGTCTTAGTTACTTTTCTAATGCTGTGACTAACAGCAACTTGGAGAAGAAAAGGTTTATTTCACTTACACTTCCAGGCAGTAATCCATTACTGAGGGAAATCAGGGCAGGAACTCAAAGCAGGAACTCATGTGGGGGCCATGGAGGAACACGACTTACTGGCTTGCTCCCCACAGCTTACCCAGCTTCCTTTCTTATACACCTCGGGACTGCTTAGGGGTAGCACCAAGCACAATGGGCTAGGCTCTCCCACATCCATCATCATTTAAGAAAATGACTTGCAGACTTGCCTACAGGCCAATTATTACAGAGACATTTTTCCCAATTATAGTTCCTTTTCCCCAGATGACCCTATCTGCGTCTAGTTGACATGAAATCCAGCCATAATAATCCACCCCTTGTCAATTTGACACACAAATACGGCATTTACTAAGCCATAACTTTTCTTGTTCTTCCCATGGTGTCATGCTAATATTCATATGACAATGTAAAACATTTCAACTTTTAAAAATCCCAGTCTTTAAAAGTTTCAACACTTTAAATGTTCAGTCTCTTTAAAATATCCAGTCTCTTTCAAAGTTCAAAGCCTCTTTAACGTTCCAGAGTTTCTCTAAAATATCCAAAGTCTCTTTGACTGTGGGCTCCTGTAAGATAAAACAAGAAGAAAACTAAAGAAAAACAGTTAAATACTTCCTATCTCTGAGAGGGAAGAATCAGGGCATGCAGTCACAATCAAATAAAAATAACTCCAAATTCAACAGTGTAAGAAGTTTGTTACTTGGTACCTGGAACCCATTTGTGCTCCTCCAGATTCTAAGGGTTTGGACAGCAGGCTTCACTTTGGGAACAGCCACCTGCAAGCACTTGTCTTTTGTCTCCTAGGCTCAGGCCATTCTATCCACAGCTGCTGCGTTGGTGGTTGCCTCTTGGCTGATCCTGGTATCTCTAAAATGCTGTGGGGTCCTACTGCAGCTGTGCTGTGCTTTCATTAGTAGCTTCTCCTGGGCTCTCTTCAAGGACTTTGACCCTACCACATGGTGCCAAGCCTTGACTTTTCTCCATGACCTCCTCAATCCTGGGCCTTCTACTGCAGCCGAGGCTCCATCTTCACTAATGGCATATCTCTCCAGGGACTCCAGCCCTGCCAAACAATGCCAAGTCTCAGCTCTGCTCCATGACCCCTCCATGCCTTCAAAACCAGTACAACCTGGGTGATTCTTACACTACTGAATTCAGTTGCCAGCATGAGATGAAGCCTCAGTTCCTCCTGGACCATGGCTTCTGTGTGCTGAGAGGAAACACTTTGCAGAAGATTTTTGTATCAATGATTGTGGTGGTTTGAATGTAATCAGGCACCACAGGCTCATAGGGAGTGGCACTATTAGGAGGTGTGGCTTTGTTGGAGTGGGTATGGCCTTGTTAGAGGAAGTGTGTCACTCCGGGGACAGGATTTGAGGTTTTCTATGCTTAGGATACCTCCCAGTGTCTCAGTTGGCGTCCTCTTGCCTGCAAGATGTAGGACTCTTTCTCCAGCACCCTGCCTGCCTGCACGCTGCTATGCTCCTCGCCATGATGATAATGGACTGAGCCTCCTCGGTGAGCCACCCCAATTAAGCGTTTTCCTTTAGAAGAGATGTCATGGTCATGGTGTCTCTTTACAACAATAGAAATCCTACGTAAACCATGGCTCATTTTTTAGCCACCGTCCTTGCAAAGCAAAGGTTTTACTTTAGTGGTTCTGATCTCTTCTTAACTAGAGGCCCAGCTGACCAGATGCAGATTCTTAGTTCAAAATATCAAATGGCCCCGATAGTCTCTAAGAAACTCCCAAACTTCCCTGTGAAACTTCCCAAGCCAGGCCTCTATTGTCTGCATTTCTCCATGTTCTTTCCATCCAGGCTCCCACAGAACAGCTGTGAGCACTCACAGCTTTTCCAGACCAAGGTTCCAAAGTCCTTCCACAATCCTCCCAAACTTTGTGGCCCTTTCTAGTACCAATCTCTATCTTAGTTACTTTTCTATTGCTGTGATAACATACCACAACCAAAGCAACTTGAGAGGAAAACATTTCTTTTGATTACACTTCCAGGCAATGGCCATCACTGAGAGAAGTCAAGACAGGAACTGATGCTGAGTCCACAGAAAAGTTCTGCTTATTGGCTTCCTGGCTCAGTGAGAAACTATCAAGAAAGAAAGAGTCAGAAACAGACTTTCAACATCTCCCTTTGCTTGTGTTCAAACAGGTATGCACACTTGTACACACACACACATACACACACACTAAATAAAAAAGGAAGATATGGCAGTTTGTCAAATAGAAAATATATGTTAAAAGGAAATTCCAAAAACAAAAAGAAATTATGAATCTGAAAAGCATGAGGACTAAAATGAAAATTTTTCTTGAGCCACAACACTTGCCGGCAGCGTTCCTCCTGCTCTTTCCTACAACACTGATTTCTAAGCTTTGCAAGTGTGGAAAGTCTTTTCCTTGTTTTTTCCAAAATGCTGGTAGGGGATATATCAATTAAAGACATTAATATCTTTTACTTTTGAGGACACATGGGACTGTTTCAATTTATGGTGCAGCCATTGGTTGTGTTTTATATTGTCTTTTGAGCTCTCTATCCTAAAAGTAGGGTTTTAACACAAAGTATCAATGTAAAAATTTCATAGGAAAGAGACCGGGGCAGTTTACACAGCACTATACCATCTACTCAAGAATTTTTTGTTTTGTTTTGTTTTTTTGAGACAGGGTTTCGCTGTGTAGCTTTGGAGCCTATCCTGGCACTCGCTGTGTAGACCCAGGCAACCAAATTTCTCCATAAAATTCATTTTGTTCTAGACCACTCATGGTACCCTGTTCTCATCTCATCTTAGTCAGACCCTTGGTGGATCCTATCTTTTCTGTTTTTGGATCTTCATTTGCTTATAAACAGCCCTCCCCCCAACTCTCCCCTTATTCCAGAGTTCACTAATGCATAGAGACATTAGCCTTTTTCTTGGCTCCCATAAACTAGCACACTCAAATCCCAGATCTTCAGGAAGCAAATTGGAATAACTATTGCAAATAGGAATAACTATTTTGGGGAAGTTGAACTAATTACTTCCTCAGCCTCCTCATGTAGAAACAGGAATAGTAATGACAGTACCAATGTCATAAATTTCAAATGAGTTAAATTATGTAAAGCTCTTAGAACAATGGCCAACACAGAGAAAGCAGCTGATAGCCATTGGCTATTGTTAATACAAGACAGGGAAAACTTATTAGTAACAAAAGTTCTTATCAAAATGTGTGGTAAGCTAGTATTTTAATAACACTGTTTACTAGACTGTTCCTCAAGTAGCAGTTCTATGTGGAATTCAGGGAAAGTCAAGCAAACTAGTGGACTTTAAACTAGTGGATCTGTCATTTATAAACTGCAACCTCACACTAATTGCATAACCTGTTTGAATCTGGGTTACTTCTTTTATGGGCTGGAATTTGGATTGGTGTTTGCTAGTTAACCTAGGAGTGAGATGTGTGAGATGAAGTGAAGAGGCCAGAGGTAAAGAATAAGTAACAAAGAAGTGGTTGTTTTTAATGGATCAGTACAAGAACGATAATCTGCTCACTTAAAGGCATCACTTTAAGTAACAAAGTGTCTTTTCTTCTAACTCTTTGAGTTTGCTTTCTGCCTTTTAAATCTAAAACAAGGTTCACACTGTTGGAAGTCCATTTGGAATGTAGAAATTGAGTAGACAGAGTGTTTTGGAAATTGAGTGGATGATGTCCATTAGATTTTGAGGAGGGACCAGATTTTGAGATGACACTTTTTTTATTGTAAATGCTCAGGCTTATTACTAACTAGCTCTTACATTTTAAGTTAACCTATGTTCCTAATTTACACTCTACCACATGGCAGTAGCTTTATTAGCATGGAATGTTCATCTCTTGCTCCCTCTGCATCTGGCTGGCATCTTCTCTGATTCTGCCCTTCTTCCTCCCAGAGTCCTCTGTGTCTGGCTGTCCCACCTATACTTCCTGCCTAGCTACCAGCCTGTCCAGCTTTTTATTAACCAATGGGAGTAATACATATATATTCACAGTGCACAGAAGGAGTCTTCCACAGCACAAGGTTAGAAAGGGTGAGGAGATACAAAGAGTAGGTTAGATTGTACAGGGTGCCTCTGATTTTATAACAAAACACATTTATCTTAAGTATCACTCTTATATTTCCCTGTGCTTAAGGCAATATTTTATATGAATCCCAAAGATGTATC